CCACCTTTTTCGCACTCACCCAACCTGGTGCATTGGCGGCGAGAGGAAACTCAACTGTCTTCTTTTTCCTTTTAGTTCTGTGTGGTTAGAAGTGGACACTTCTCATCCTAAAATGATTGATCAATGGATTAATAGCCAGGACCTTGGTTTGAAGTATTCCGCAACTTTTCGAGACTTTGCACGGAGGTAAGCTAAAAGCGCACTATGCTAGCAACGGTCTGTAAATATTTAATGACAGAGCGCTTGTGTTAATCTTTGAAATGAAAACAAAGCTAATCTGGCCAATCACAACAACGGAAAATAGGCAGCCAACCAATCAGAATTCGAAGCAAAGGCATGCGGTCTGCGCCAAGTGCGGGAAAACGCGTAAGCCTCTTAAAGGCTCTGCCATTGATTGGTGGAAAAAAATAATACGTGCTCTGATTGGCTACGGAAGATTGCGCGAGATTCGTTTTAACCAATCGCATGCAGAGCTTCAGCAAACGCACGAAAACAACTGTAAACTCAGAATTATCAATTTTGACTGAATGGAAAAACGCTCTTTTCGGCATGAAAACAACAACAACAAAAAATTAAAGAGATAAAATGTAAATTGAACGAAAGCGTTGTCCGGCGTGCTAGAGTACGAGCAGATTTAGACTTGAACGGGATTTGAACTCATGGCCTTTGCCATATCTGTAGGTTTGACAGTAGACTTGCCACAAGCGACTTCTTGGAGAAAGTCTAGTGTGATAGTTTAGTTTGTACGGCACTGCACCGGTATCACAGAGGTCAAAAATTACAACACCGTTGAGTTCAAGCTTCATTTTTTTTTCAGATTTTATTTTCGCAACTGCCTAAGATGCGTACATAACTACGACGATCTCTTAAGCCCTTATCTTCAGTTCAAATAAATGATGTTTCATATATTTACATATGTAAAGGAACTGCTTGTAAACTACCAGAATGTAGGCGTCTATTTTCTACCGAAATTGTTCCGGTTTGCCGAAATACAGCTGGTAATTTCAGTTCAACCGACAGACGTCGGTAAGACCGTTTCCTCGTCTCCCTCACAGCAGTGAAAAGAGCTTGAAAATATCTTTGTTAACAACTGAAAAAGCCATTAATTTCGTCGAGTAAGCCTTTTAAAAGCATTCGAAATTGCAAGTCACTCAAACACCTGCCCGAGGTTAGTCTGTATGAGTTGTGGTCAGCGGAACACTCATCTTTCGTTTCCAGCCTTCTCAGTTTTTGTGCTTCACTAACCGCTTTGGTCAAACTTGGTAAAGCATATCGATATCAGGGACGATAAATTTGAATTTTGATCTACCAATGTTAAGGTTAAAAACACCGACTCCGACTTTTTGCCTTTCTCGCTGGATTAATTTTACTTTTTTTTTTTTGAAGTTAAAAAACAGTCATTTCTGTATCTCCACTGGGGGGTAATTAAAAATCTTCAAAGGAAAGAGTTAATATGAAATTCTAATTTAAAATACCGGCATTTTATGACAATGAGAGGGCACAATATGCTATCGCCCACGGCGCGACAAGAAACCTCGAGTACCTCATGTGACTAAGAACCTTAGCCTCCCGTTGTGAACCAGACTAACTGGCGCAGCTTAAGACAAGCTGTGTTTGCCGTCTGCAATCGTAGCAGTGGTTGCCAGGAAGTGGTAATATTTTTAGTCATTTAATGTGAAATTAAAAATTTATTAACCTATGCAAAAGGAAGGAACTCTCTGGAAGGGCGTGAAAACGGTTTTCTTCCTGTTTTAAAGGCTTCCTGTTTCATCTCTGGAACATGTGTTTTCAATGTGTCAGCGAAAAAAGAAGGCATTTTAACTGCGGTTAATTAGACATTTTTTCTGCCGTTTTGCGGTCAGAAGTTTTACGCAAGGACTCACGTCTTGGAGGAGAAAAGATTGATATGATGCTATTTGAGTGTTTTTTTTTTGTTATTATTATTATTGAGTATGTTTAGTTGGATTGACACAGACCAACCCTAACCCTAAACACCTTGTCGGTTTTCAAATGTGGTGCCTTGTCGAGGTCTTTCGCGCCTCGCGAGTTTCCTCGCGAGCATCCCTCGAAAGTATCACTCGCGCGCAACCCTCTCGAGAACCCCTTACGTGCGTTAAAAAGATTCACAGTAAAGGTGTTTTGACTACAGGGCTAGGGCGTGGAGAAAAGTAGGAAGAAATTATCCGGAAAGCTAAAATTATAGATTCCGCATTTTTTGTTTGAAAGGCTCACCTTACGTCAAACCGTGTCAAACGACAACCGTCGCGTACCGATGATAAAAAGCTTATTTCTTATTACAATATTCATACGTTGTCAAGCGCAGAGGTGATGAGAATAGAGAAAATTGTCAGCTAGGAGATATCTTCTGGCTTTGATGTACTACCAAATTTTCCGCACCTACCACCAACGTTAAGAGAAAGGAATGCAATCAGTTGGTAGAATTAACAGGCAATCCAGTTGGTTATTAAGTGTGCTTGAGAATGAGTAGTGCGAACCCCGTATGACGAGCGTATTTCAGTGGAACCTATAACCTAACTCAGTATATAACCCAAGGCTCCGACCATGCTACGGCGGAGAAATGTGAAAACGCAGCTTTATTTCTACGGTTAGGCCTACCGTCCACACTAACCCGTCACGAAAACGGAGCTTTTCCAAAACGCGCTTGAAACCGGAATTTGTAAACGCCGGCTTTTTGTTTTCATTTGGACGGAAAACATTTTGAAAATGGAGCTTTTCGAAAACGATGGCGTCACGATTATCACGTGATTTCCCTGACAGAGGTTAGTTCACGCACAAATCCAAAATGAGCAGTGATTGTTACGTTTTCAAATTTCACCGGCGTAGTTTGGACCGTAAACATTTGGTACGATTTCGGAGTGAAACCTTCGTTTTCAAATTCCTCCGGCGTAGTGTGGACGGAAAACATTTGATGCGTTTTCAGATTGAAACCTTCGTTTTCAAATTCTTCCGGCGTAGTGTGGACGGAAAACATTTGATGTGTTCTCAGAGTGAAACCTTCGTTTTCAAATTCCTCCGGCGTAGTGTTGACGGTAAACATTTGATGTGTTCTCAGAGTGAAACCTTCGTTTTCAAATTCCTCCGGTGTAGGGTAGGTGGGGCCGAACATACAGGTCCGTTATTAATGGATCCGTCTCTAGCACGTTTCTTTTACGTGTTTTTCCTTTTAGTAGAAACCAAGCTCAAAGAGATAACTTATTTACAAGAAACCTCTCGGTAATGGTTAGAGTTTGTAGAGTAGTGCTCGTTAGATAACAAGAACCCTTGCTCTGGCCATGATGGAGTAAGGATAGCTATCAGTTGAGGGTGCGGATGGAAATAGTTTTACAGTAGAATTCCTTCCTTTGTAAAGGAAGTCATTAGCCCTGTCACTGGTTAATTGAGCGGTTTGTTCAAAGTGTTAATAGAAACAAGGAAATATTTTGTCAATGAATGGAAGAAAAACATTGTGAACAGTGAAACTAAATAGTAAAAAAAAAAACTTCTGTACAAACTAGATTGTCCAATTTGAAGTGTTCATAAATAGCTTTCATTTTTTTGATTTGTTGAAATTTGCAATGAAGTTACATTCAAAATACGTTTTCGTAAATTTCTTTAGTTAGAATAATTTGTCAATTGCAGGCCGAGATTTTGTCACATTACCCGAAAGTGAAGACTGCGTGACTCGTGACGCCCCAAGCCCTTGTATAGCGTTACCAAAGCGCCAGGACTGCTAATGAAATCAAATGGTACAAAGAAGAACTTGGCCCAGCTATCTTTGGCAAATGAACAGTTATCATACAGATTGGAGTGTGTGATCCCAAAACCCCATGTGATGGACTCTGACCTGTGTCTTCTTAGGAACAGGTAAAAATCAAACACGATTTACAAGCGCTCAGATCAGAGGAAATAATCGCGTTTAATCTTTATCCATAGTGCAATAATCACGAGATTAGTGTTTGTTAGAGTTATTTAACCTGCCGTCAGAGTGATTTATTGTGGGGGTTGCGATATCACTCATTAAATAATGAACAACCTTAATGCGGGGTGCAGTGGAATATGGGGCGAGGGGTAAACGTGAAGAATGGGGGGG